CACCCCGCGCACCGCCGCCAACGTCATCGACATGAAACCCAGAGAGCCCGACTGCGGCCCCGGCCACAAGTACAAGTACGGGCGGTGTCGGAAGGTCGTGCGCGGTGGAGATTCGTAGAAGGGGGGTTTGTCGTCGATTAAAAGACGGTCTGTCGGGTACGTATGAAAGCAAGTTGTGTAGTCATTTTTTGAGGTGTTAACTATTTTGTCAGAGTTGTACAATGCTTCGACTTAAACATAGGGTCCGTTGACGTAAATCTGCTCTTACTGTGTCTTCCAATCGGGGTTTGGCTAACACCTACAGTAATAACGTTTAACCTCTCGATTGGAGGACATCGAAAAAGCTGATGATCTGTCAAAGGACACTATGGATAAATCGATGTTATAAGTAGCTCCGTATGAACCATCAAGGCCATTCACTGGCCATTCTGGGAAAGAATCGTAGCTAGTAACAAACACTTATCAAAATATACCGTTTCGTAAACACCTTCCATAAATGAATGAACATATGTATTTATGCTATTTCATGCACGCATTTTAGCGACTGTTTCTGGCTTGCAAATGAATTATCGAGGGCGAAAATAATCTTTGCTTGGCCCATTCATACAGATGTTATAAGAAGCTTCACTATAGCACTAGTACTTAAAAGGATTTATTATAGCAATAGTCGCATAATGACTCCTTTTACTTTCTCGTCCCTACGAAGGTATTTCGTAAGATGAGAAAGCTATATAATTGTGTGCCGGAACACGGTAATTTTTTTCAATCAAGAAATAAAAGCAGCTACGTCACAGTGCAAAATAATATTTTACGTGACCTCATTGCCGCCCTTCCTACCCTCCTTAAATACCCGCTCTCGTTGCCCATCCTCACTGCATTTACACGTTGCCCTTCAATGGCCTTTGGTTTATTCAGAGATTCAAAAGAAAACGTTATATTTCGATGATATCGTCAAGTCTTGCAATGGAACAAAGCATTATTTTACAATTGTAAAAAATAGCTATTGTAATCAAGAAACGTATATTTTTTTGTATTCCAGCATTATAAAAGGACCTTTTCTGTTGCAAGAAATCGTTCACAATCGGACATTTTACGACACAAATAATGACGTACTAGATTTCATGTCACGAATGATTGTGTCATCACACATTCAGCCAATCGTTGCGAGAGAATCGGGGGAGGTAGACCTAACGGAACAACCGACCACCCGAGCCGTCACAGGGAAATGGTTTCGCAAAATTAAGTTTGATTCTCTTATAAATGTGTAATGCTGTTATACAAAAATATATAGTATGCAACTCGTTTATAATGTTGCTTTATTACATTCGTACAAATTTGAAAACTCGCTCCTAAAGCCGCTCGTTTTCAAAACACGTACCCACGAAATAAAGCTTAACATTATAAACTAATTGAGAAAACTACTATTATAATGTTCTTATAAAACTTGTTTCATTAAAACTATCGTACCGGACCTGATTTCTGTTGTTTCAAGGGATGCTGCAGAAATTATTTTCTCTTTTGTGAAAGTATTATCGCATGTTATAAAATCAAAGGAAACATTTCACTTTCTCGTTTTAAGACTATTTTATTTATTTAAGATATTATGGTCGACACGATAAGTAAGATACTTTATTTTATAATCATAAGTTATAATAACATGTATAATATGCATATATATATATATATATATATATATATATATATATATATATATATATGTAAACAATAAAAGAAAATTAATCACACTACACGCGAAGTCTTTACAAAAGCCCCAGAACCGAATCGTTTAATATTAATGTTTTGGATTAAAACACGAAGCCAATTTCTGAACCACTGAACTGTCCAGTTTTATTTTTGAACCACTGAACTGTCCGTTTCCTTGGCCAAGAAACCCTTGGACGGTTCAAAATTTTACTTCAAAAAGTGTTGTTGTTTTTTTACAAAATTTAGTTTAAGCTATCTGCAATGCATGTTGGTGCATTGTAGGTAGGCGGTCATGCAAGAAGGCGGCATTGTGACAGGCGACGCGGGGGTGGGGGGGGCGTGGCAAGTAAAGCTGTCGATGCGAACGAATAGGTAGAACGGGTGGGACGGCCGGACCAGGCAAAAGGTGGACTGCACGTATGATTCCGATCAGTAATAGGTCTATCATGATCAAATGGTTTCATTCTAATAACATGGACCAATTTATCACTATTTTTTATCCTGTTTATCATTTAATCAATCAATTACATAGACACATAATTATTTTTTTAGGTTGGATAGGAGATGAACACATATTGCTGTATGTATGTCGCCGCGGTGAACCCGAATCTGAAGCCAGAATTGCGCCATCACCTCCCAGTTTTTCACGATTTTTAAAAAAAAACTGGAGCGGGAAGCGCAATTCTGGCTTCGGATTCAGCGTGAGACATACACAGAGAAACATGTGTCAAGCCTTTGGGTCTGAACACTTTTTTTTCAATTTTGTATGCCTGTGTTATTATATGTCATATTATCAATTCTCATTACATCGATTGGTGGTTTTTATCAAGCATCCACACGATCCAAATTATAGCCTACTCATCGATCACTTATGAATAATAATATCAGAAGACTTATTCGCAATAATAGCAGTAGCTGTTAAGTAGAATCGCTTTAATAGCAATTCTACTTCATCTATCAGATTTGATCAGCAACAATGTTTTTTTTCATTTTTTACAATGAATCTTCTCAACATTCAAATCCCATTCTCTCACCAGCGGGGAACTGCCCCAGCCGGGAGAATATCTAAGGTCCAGACAAGTCTTACATGTCGTAAGTGTAAGGCTGTAGTGAAGTGCAAGTAAGGGATGTGTGTACGTAGGGGGTGAGGATAGGGCAAGGAAGAGGAAGGAAAGGTAGCGCGCGGTCCGCGGCCCGTTTCTTACGGTACTGCACCGGCATTCGACTGGTGTTGGTCCGAGAAAACACGAAAAATTGTCACGGCATTTGCACAAATCAGAGCAGCTGTCCTCTAGAATCCTCCTCCAGACAGTGGCTGAATTGCAACTACCTGTGCAGTTATTGTCGAAAATCCTGCTACGGAAGTAGGTCGTGGTGGAGTACGAAGTAGTCGGAAGTGGAGCCCTAGGATCTTGCGGTCAGAGGCAGTGCAGTGACATCAACTGATGCCGAGAGTCACTTAAGTCGGTGAGGGGGGTGTGGCTCCCTAACCCTCCTTGGAGACGTCCTTGTTGCATATATTCGCTGTGTGCAGAAGATATTTCTTTTAAATCGAGAATAAACGTGAGATGGTTCAACCTTTTGACGAACTACCTTTTAATTATTTTTTCTCATTTTCTTCGTAAGTTAGCGATTAATTTCTCAGCTTCCAGCTGTTCATAGTTCTCGCGATCTTTTATATCTTTCCATTTGATTGCAAAACAGAGTTTTATCGACATAACATTGTATTTTTTTAAAACCACAATTTTATTTTCTCACGTCCCGTTAATGCTATTTTTGGTTAGGGAGGTTTTAACAAATAACTTTAACACTTCTCAGGATCATAACAGTAAACTTCTATCCTGTGATGTAGGTTCATATGTAACTAAACACATAACACATTTTCATAATTTTAAACTACTTATTTTTGAGTTGCTGAGGTACACTGCATGTCTTTGTCGCGCGAAGCTGTGAACAAAGAGATTATTTCGCCCTTGAAGAAGAGCTTATGGCAGTAGAAAATGTTGATTTATGAAGAAATAAAATAGCGAAAGAATGGTTTGGCTTTGTTAAGATTTATTCTTTTACAACCAATGAGGTCGAGTAAAACTAGTATCGTTTTTTGCCATTCCTGCATTCCTCAGCTTCTACAAGTATTTCCTCGTGTGTCATACGTTCCTTTTAGAAACTCTACATTCAGTTTGGTTTATATTGCAATGCCCATCTGGATAGGCGAGGTGACTACGCATGTAAAAGATTCTAAAGACTAAAATTAGTCTCTAAGCTAAATTCAAATCGCGTGTTTCGTTACCCGAATTTCCCCGTCAGATGGAAAAAGGAACGTAGAAAACTGTGTGGTCTGACGGCAGAGGGGGCCTGATGTGTCGAGTCTCGTCAGGTAAAATAAGAGATCAACTAACTACGTAAGACCGCGTGTAAGGACGAAGGTTTGTGGATTCGAAGGTTCGAATCTCTCACAGGGCGTGGATGTTAGACCCTTGTATTTTCCGTGCGTGTTTGTGTTGTACTGAAGTGACTCCTTTTATGCTAATCGGAATACCAAGAGTGTTTATCTTCTACGTCTGGAGGTACACCGCATGAAGTATAGAGAGTCTAGTTAGACTACCGCTGAAAAAATCCTCAAGAGCCTTTGTTACTTCTTACGTTGTCCCGCATGCAATACTTGTATTTTATTATTAAGTGTTCTCACGATTTTGCGATATATTTAATACTATTCATTTAAGAAACTACACGGCTGCGAAGTGGCAATTCCTGTCTCTTACAATGATACGAGGAAAACGTAGAAACTCCGTCTAGACGAGCACATTGAATTGTCCTTGAGAGCGTAACTTCGAACGACCCACCTCGTAAGGAAAAATGATAGCGGAAAGTCATCTCATGTCATTCGAACCCATTGTCCTATTACAGTAAATACGTGTTGCTCAGAGCCGGATCGGTTGCTCGGTCACCACGTATCGGAGCGTTTAGTCTTAGACGCAGTCGCAAGACGTTTACTGTGCAGGGCGGACATTGGTAAACACACAACAAAAGGACTAAAAAAGTGCTTAAGAGCAGAAATGGTTGCTGATGCATCAACCGGTTCCACGCGTGGAAGCCTCCGGCGTGGCGGCATGAAGTCGGTAAAAAGAAGACGAAGACACGCGAGTGCGGGGAGGGGGAGACGGGGGGCGGAGGA